AAAAAAAAGTTAATATCCTAAAATATATTTTCTTTAAAATTGCAATCGCATTACCATTTTTTCTGTACAGAATTGGGTTCAGCATAAAATTCAGCATACATCACACTATTGATTTATTTGAAACACTATACAGGGTGTCTCAGATTTTAATCGGGAAAATTTAATAGACGATAGAACTTGCAAAAATAAAACAAAAAGTTCATATCAACTTGTAAGATTTAAAGCTTCCTTTTCGAGATACAGGGTGTTAAAGTTACTTAAAAAAGAAAAAAAATTAAGATCTAAGAGGCCTCATCTGCCTCATAGGACAAGCCGCCCCTGGTTAGAAGATGCCCAAAATCGTATTTTTAATAGTAATTCAATTTTTTCAAATTGAACGAGGGTGGCTCATTAGCATATTTGAAAGAACCATTTTTAGCCGACCATATCAACAGGTATGGTAGGCTATTAAGATCGGCAAAATAATACAGTATAACAAATATACACAATATGCAAAATATACAATATACAAAATATTTTCATGGTGTCTGTCTGTCCGTCTGTAACACGATAACTCAAAAACCGCTAAACCGATTTTAACCAAATTTGGCACAAAAATACTGTGGCACCCGAGAATCTGGCCATTAGTTTTTTTTGGGGGATGGGGGGTTGGTAAGGGGGTATGGGAGGGGGTATGAAAGGGGGTTAAAAATTTAAAAAAAAACATAACTCCAAAATTACAGTAGCTAGCGAAACGCGGTTTTCAATTTAAGATTAGGAATAATATTTGCAACAAAATTTGTAATAACATCATAATCAGTTAAAGTCGCAGTTTTTGAGATAAAAAAAATTGGAAAAATTCCTTTACTTTGAAACTAAAAGAACTGCCTACCAACTTTTTATTAACATATTTTAATATGGGCGGCTATACGTGTCTCCCGGCGCCATTTTTTTACGAATAATTTGGTCCACATATTTGGTATTTCGAGTCAAATTGGCGTGACATATTCTAGGTTGAAATTTAAAAAACTATTTTTAAGCGAAAATGTCAAAAGTTGTCAAAGGCGGCGTTAGCAGTCAGCGATGACTATGAAATGTATATCGCTGTCATTGTGTATGTAAAATTACATGGGGAACCTATTCAGTTGTCATTTTCAAGCCAACTGGGCCCGAATTCTGTAACTTTATGCAACGTTACGCTTTCAAAGCGGTGAGCGGAAGTATGCGATTAGCGGAAGGCCAAGCAGTCGATTTTGGTAATCTCGTTGCCGTGCTAATCGTTTTATGGATACGCGTTGAGCACATATTGACACCATCGTAATTTTGCAGGTATCTAATAGTCAAATGTGAATAAAACAATGAAAAATGTCAATGTTACGTGAATTTCATAACCTATTGTTGAGTTATGTCAACCTATTTTTCTATGGATATGTCATTATTCTTATTATACGAGGGAAATGTTGAAAACGCTTCTCAGCATTTTCGATGTTTTGAACAATATTTATAGCTGCCAAGTCGTAAATTATCAATTACTTATTGAGGAATTTATAGAAGAAGTAGTAGTTTTCACTAAAGAGCAAGATAACGCACAAAATCACAATTTTTTCGATTTTCACTGACAGTTCGACAAGCAAAACGATCCTTTAAGGCAACCGTTTTCAAAGCGCTCAGCGCAATCAGTAAAGACGCTAAGCGCGTAAGACGAGAATACCGAAATAGTTAATTAAGTGCGCGCTCAGCGTCACATTAACGTCATATACGCTGAGCGTCTAAAAGCGTTTTCTAAGTTACTGAATTCGGGCCCTGGACCCTGGTTTTTTTGCGACCATACTTTATTTATTCACATAATTCCAATTTTTGCCATTTTTTCATGCTTTTTTTGTAATTTACAAAAGAAAGTTGGTTGGATAACTGCATAGATGTTCAAATAATAAGTTGTACACTAGTGACTAGCAAATCATCCAGGGGGGGGGCTGGTGTTGAGCCCAGGGGGGCCTACTCGTTTTATCTTTTTAAAAATGAAAGATAATTTTAAAAAACACATGTTTTGAATAAAAGTTTACATGAATTATTTCTCTCAATAAATTTCATAGACTTGGTTATCAAACCGTGTTGCCGTAGATTATTTAAATACCTACAAATTTTCTAAAAAAAAAAATTAACACTTTTTTGAACACCACAAAATAATATTAACTAAATAAAACTAGAAAACGTCATTTTTACTACATCACAAGCAAATAAAAATTAATACGTAGCCAAGAGTCATAATCCAAGAATTCTCTGGGGGGTGCCCAAATATACCTGAGGGGCCTGGCACCCCCGGGCACCACTGTAGTTTCGCCAATGCACTAGTATCTCAGATAACATGTACTATGTTACCTGTGGTAGTATTAAATCAATTTACATATTATTTAATTATATTGATATTTTTAATACATAAAAAATAAAAATACATAAATAGATAGATAGATAGATATTCATTTATTTGTTCCGATTTACAGAAGTTACAGGAGCCCGCAGGCATGGAACATTGTGAAAATAGCAAAAAAACAAAACTTAAGACTTAATATAAAACACACATAAATACACTTAAATAAGGAAAACACTAGAATAACACTCGACAACAAAAAAATATAAAATGTATGTGTCGAAAATCATTGTTTAGTTTAAATTAAATTTCTCTTTAAATAATCTTTCTAACCGTACTATATATATATATATATATATATATATATATATATATATATATATATATATATATATATATATATATATATATATATATATATATATATATATATAGTATAGCTGCATACTGCTATAGCATATATATATATATATATATATATATATATATATATATATATATATATATATATATATATATATATATATATATATATATATATATATATATATATATATATATATATAGCATAGCAGCATATATATATATATATATATATATATATATATATATATATATATATATATATATATATATATATATATATATATATATATATATATATATATATATATATATATATATATATATATATATATATATATATAATATATACTATACTACAGTAGTAGCAACTAACTAATAGAGTACTAATCAATTGTTTTTTGTTTCAGATGTACAAAATTTTGTAGCTACAGTGGGTAAGTTTTTCAGTACGTTCTACTTCTACCATACTTCATGTTTTCCTTTGAATATAAATACTGTCCACTTTGTGCAAAGTCAAAAGTCTAGACTGCTAAATTTTGATTCAATAAAATTTGTATTATACAGGGTGTCCCAATATTCCATAGACATAGAATAACTACGTATTTTTGGAATCAAAATAAGTTCGTTGGACACAATTCACCTCTATACAAAAGTGCTTCGTTTGTATCTAACATACAAAGGGCATCAAACATTAAAATAATAAATACATTTTTCAGATATTTTATTTATTCCGACTTGAATTAGATTTCGGGTGTATATGTTTTGCTAACTGCTCTGACATTTGACTTTCACAAAAATTCATGAAAAAGTACGGGAATACATGGATGAAAACCATGATATAAAGAAAACAAAGTGTGATCGATAGCGGCTCCAATTTCGTTCAGTTGTTCAAATTGTTACGATGTCACCAAACAGTGCCGTGGCACATATTTTTCTTACCTTGGCTGTTTGAAGATATATTTATATTTTTTGATAATTGTTTTAACTACGCCTATGGTGTATACGGTGGTATCATACTAATTAATTACGAATAAAACGTATTAAAATGTTAAAAAAGGTACAAAACTAGTATCGACTAATAGTACACATCAAGTACATATAATATCAGAAAAATAATTATCGAATTTAATAAGAAAACGCTAAAAAGGTGGAGCGGACTGTTTTTCTTCCTATGAAACGTAACTCCTGGCTGTTTCTTATCGCTGCGGCTTTCACACTTGAAAGCTGAACAACTAATCGCCATTGTAATAAAGTTTATACAAAGTTCACTATACACAAACTATTAAAAATCGCTAAAATTGTCGCTGATAACTCATTCGTCGCCATCAAAAAAATGGCGTCGAATGTCACAAATTTTGCTGCAGCTCGTATATGGGCGTTACATGTCCTTATATTCTTTAGTCATTGCAAAAATATCCATATTGTTCAATCGCCACTAATAAAAAAATTGGGGCAACGGCCCAGCTACGTCCAAAACACCACACCGGTTCTCATTAGAACACCGAAGTTAAGCGACGTAAGGCCATACTAGTTGATGGACGGGTGACCGGTTCAAAACTCTGTATCGTGCCGTTGTCCAATAAAGGTAGAATGTTTTACTTTCCGACACTACGACATGCGACTAAACGTGCGTTAACTAAAAAAGATTTCAGTTAACGTCTCCTTTTTGCTGCCAGGGCTAATCTGGACAGGGTCTACTTTATTTGCGCGGAATCCGAACCGCGGTCCTCGGCCATATCATGGTCAATGGACTTGTCAAGTGTCTTAATCGACTCTTACACACGAGATATCATATAGAAAACTATGCGATGTGGCGTTTTTTTTTACAAGAGACAGAAAATGTACTGGTGGTCGAATGCTGGTGAAGGATCTCGAGGGGTCTGCCCAATGCCGAGTTGGGTAGGCCACACAAATCTCGAGAAATGTCCACTGAATCTAAAAGCTCTGCCAGTAAGTCTTATTTCCTACGTCCCCGAAGGTTCATGAGAACCGCGTGACCACTGGAAATGTATGGCAGTCAATGGATGCCTGTTATACAACTAACAGGAATAGGGCGATGGCGAATCTCCGGCGCCACAAAACCGGAACCCCTCGGCTAAGGCTGGGTATCCCGACAGAAAGACCTCTGGTCCTCCAGGTTGGGGGTTGAAGCGACGGGCTAGCACCCTGTCATCCGGAAAATTATTACCTGGCTAAAAATTTCGACCAAAAGCCTCGGAACCAGGACGGATCAAATCGAAGACGACAAACGCTATGGAAAAGGACTTTGAAACTAGCCACGTGGAATATGCAAGGTATAAGGACCAAACAACAAGAAGTGTTTAGTGAAATAAATAAAATGAAGATCGACATTTGTGTGCTAACGGAGACCAAAAAGAAGGGCAAAGGAACGGAGACTGTGGGAGAGTACATCCACATATTTAGTGGTGTAAACAAGGAAACTAGGGCAAAAAGAGGCGTTTCGGTAGCTATACACAAAAGACTAAAAAACAACATAAAAAGCTGGGACGAAATAGACGAACAAATTATAACAGTCGAAATACACAAAAACCACCGACAAATGATAATAATAGGAGTATATGCCCCTAGCGACGATGCGGATCCTTTAACAAAAGATATGTTTTTCAATAAACAAACGCACATAATATCCGACATTAAACACGATAAAGAACTATTCTTACTGGGAGACTTCAACTCAAGAACGGGAACAGAAACCAATAGCCCAGTCGTGGGGCAGTACGGAGAGAGGTCAACAACCAACGACAATGGTCTCAGGCTAAGAGGCATGTGCGAAAGCCTAAATTTAAAAATTATGAACGGCTTCTTCCCTCATAGAGACATTCATAAGTTTACGTGAACTCAACCAACTCGCCAGCTACGCTCCATAATTGACTATCTGATACAGCGACAAAACTCAAAACTAAAAACCATTGACGTAAGGGCTTACCGTGGAGCAGAATGTGGATCGGACCATCATTTGCTGGTATCAAAAACAGTAGTAGAGTACAGAAAGATGTACACTGTAGTAAATAGAACTATACACGACAGATACGTACAAGTAGAAACAAAAAAAAATACAATTTAGAAAGTTTTATGCAAGAGTCGACACGATTTCTGTACAAACTAAAACTAGCCAATAAACTAGCATATATAAGAAGGGACAACGTAAACGCTGAAACGTATGAACAAACAAAACAATGCATTCACGAAGCAGCTGAAGAAGCGTTAGGGCAACAAGATAAGCAAACGACGGAAAAACCAGAATGGTGGTCTGAAAACTTAGAAAAACTTAAAAAGCGATCCTACCAGAAATGGCTTAGTACCCACAGCGACCACGACAGCGAAGAATATGCAAGATTAAATAGAATGGTTAAACGCGAAGTAGCTAAAAGCAAAAACAAAATGTGGGAAACCAAATGTGAGAGAGTGGAAAGATATATGGGAGGTACAAGAGTGTCAGAAGCGTGGAAGACAATAAGGAACCTTAGAAGAGACGAAAAGCAAAACAGTAAACTAGAACTTATAAGCATGGAAAAATGGGAAACCCATTACAAACAGTTACTGACAGAAAACCAGACAGAATTCAAACTAGAAGTGCCAGATTTGAAAAACGCAAAAGATATAGATGTAAATGAAAGAAGTGTAAACGAGATAAAAGAAAGCATTTTGAAGAACTCAAAAAATGGAAAAGCTGCGGGGCCGGGAAACATTTTCATTGAGCTAATAAAGCAGGGACCCGATATATTATTGGAAATACTAGCTGATATTTTCAACAGATGCCTGATAAAAAACGAAAACATTCCTGAAGACTGGAACCTGGCGTACATCAGCTCTATCTTTAAGAAAGGAGACAAAAAAAGATGTAGCAACTACAGAGGCATTAGTTTGACAAGCTCAATGGGAAGGTTGTATGGCAGGATATTAAAAGAGAGAGTAGAAGAGAGCTTTGAAGAAATAGAAGAACAAGGTGGTTTCCGCGCTGGGCGTTCTTGTATAGACAACATATTTGTGTTACAACAAATAATTGAAAAAAGGAGAGCTCGAAATTTGGACACGCATCTGGTATTTATAGATTTAGAGAAAGCCTATAACACGGTGCCTTTGAAGAAATTATTTGAAATCTTGGTTGAGGCAAATGTGAGTAAAACATATATCAATGCAATCTGGAATATGTACAAAAATCCAAAAAGTATTATCAGACAGGGGAAGTTCCTATCGGAATCCTTCCTGACATCTAAAGGACTTAGACAGGGGTGCAGTTTATCACCTACCTTATTTAAAATATATCTCCAGGAGGCATTGAAAAACTGGAGAAGGAGCAGTAGAGCTATGGGATTAGAGATTGACAACCACTGTCTATCGACCTTGTTCTTTGCAGACGACCAAGTTATTGTTGCAGGTTGTGAGGAGGATGCCGACTATATGTTGAGGAAACTTGAGGAAGAATACGACAGATGGGGACTCAATATCAACCTCACAAAAACCGAATGCCTGAAATTAGGAGAAGAACAAACTGAAGATCCTGAACTACACATACATGAAATTAAAAGATGTAGCGAATATAAATATTTAGGAAGTATTATATCTGAAGAAGGGAACTCCAAGAAAGATATACATAGTTGAGTTCAACAAGGTAAGAAAGTAATCGGTCTTTTAAACCATCTCCTGTGGTCAAATAAAACATCCATCCAAACAAAGATAAGGATTTACAAAGCAATCGTAGAGCCAATTTTAACATACGGTGCCGAATGCTGTCAATTTACAGCAAAAGAAAGAAGGATGGTCGAGTCAGTGGAGATGGACTTTCTCAGAAGAGTATGTCGCATATCAAGGATGGAACACATTAGAAATGAGGAGATCAGGCAAAGAACAAGGCGAATATATACCAGCACCGACAACATCGAATCGAGACAGCTACTATGGTATGGGCACGTAAAAAGAATGGGAGGGGAAAGATGGCCAAAAAGGGCAATGGAGTATCGTCCCCAAAGCAGAAGGAAAAGAGGATACATATACAACTACGTGGTTAGATGGAGTAGACCAGTACATGAGAGACAGAGCTATTAACCAGGAAGAATGGCAAAATCGAGCAATATGGAGGTCGAAATGCGGGATGCGGCAGAAGCTGTAGGACCCCCGCTTTATATATATAGAAAATGTACTAAATATTAGGTCCCTCTAGTATGTTACGAAAAGAAAATCTGTTGTCGGTGGAGTTGGAAAATATTTATACCAAAAGTTATGTAGGGGTAGGGGTAGTTTTCATCCTTCCCGTACTTTTTCTGGACTTTTTTGAAAGCCAAATGTTAGCCAAATTATTAGTTAAGCCAAAAAGCACTTAGCAATAAATAGACACCCAAAATCTCATTCAAATCGGAATAACGGTTCTTAAAATATCTGAAAAAATGTGTTTATTTTTTTAAAGTTTGATGCCCTCTAGCTGACAAACGAAGCAGTTTTGTATAGAGGTAAATAAATAAAAAAATACGTAGTAGTTCTATGTCCACGGAATATTTGTACACCTTGTATATTTAATTCTGATCCAGTTTTGTATTGATATGAGTTTAATTTTAATTTTTTTTATACCTATCAATTTTATAGAACTATGATAGATTTTTAATGTCGCAATGTTTAATCCCCCTCCGACTCATTCTACATATAACCGTGATAAGTAAATACGTGATGTAAATAATATAGGTACTAATACCTACATACGTCTGTGCTAATTTAATTTAATTAAATTTACTTATTTTTTTTATTCCAAAATATAAATATTTATATTATGGCAGATTTGTGTCAAATAATGTATTCGGTAATATCTCGTCAATATTATACGTTCCAAACATAATTTTTGTCATGGATTTTGATACTATTTTTTATTAATTTTATATTTTATTGATACGAGTTTATTCGATCTACAAATAAAATTGTTATATCAATTTTATTTGTAGACCACGTAAATACGTGTAATAATATAATCAATAAGTAAATACTTCTGTGCTAATTTAATTAAATTTATCGATAAACTGTTATTTATTTTTTTCATTCCAAATATAAATTAAAATATGTTATGGCAGACTTTTCAACCATGTGTCAAATGCTGTATTTGGTAGTATTTCATCAGAATTATGCGTTCCAAACATAATTTATGTTATGTACACAGTTAAACATAATTTTGTCATGTAATGGTATTGCATATCGTGGACGCGTCTCAAAATTATTCATGCGAATCTGGAATTGTACGCTAGAAATTGCAATAAAGCGATAAAATTCTTGATATTGTGTTTATCGGAAATGGATTGTGTGTAATTTAAACGAGAATTAAATATACAGGATGAGTTTCCTACGATGTTCTCTATGGGTATCTCGGAAACTACTGGAGATAGAGAGTCGGTTAAATGGGGAAAGAATTGCAGTTTTGTGGGGTCATTAATATGCGCCTTTCAGATTTTTGAACTTTGGCTTACTAGATATTTCGAAAAAAACAAATTTCGGCTATTTTAAAAATTTTCCCTGATTCCAATATAATCTATTTTAGAGAAAAAGTTTTCAGATAAAAGTTGTAGATAATCACATCCTTAACGAGATTGTGTCCTCCGCTTTTCTCTAAAGCCTGTCATTTTTGACATGTGATACAAACATATGTTTTTTTAAATGGAAACCATAGTTGGCCATGACTTCATAAAAAGCGCCATTTTTTAAGCTTTTTAGCGATATAAACTATAATATTTTTTTTTAGAAAAATTACTGAGTTATAGCCAATTCTTATCATTTTTAAACAATTTCACTTAGTTAGCCATGGAAACAAGTCCAATCGCCGTTGCTCTCAGAAATGCGAAACTGTCACATCCAAACTTTGTAAATTAAAATAAACAAAAATTGTAAATATGAATTTTTCAAGTGAAGAAAAGCATGTAGATACTCGCGCATCAAGAGAGTGGTTCCAACATGCCTTTCATTATGACCCCCCCCCCCTAAATGAAAGAAATGTTAAAAATTATTTATATCATAATTATGCAAACTCAGGGATAGGAAGAGCATGGACCTCCTCGATCACCTGAACTATAGTTGAACATAAATGTTAAAAATTATTTATATCATAATTATGCAAACTCAGGGATAGGAAGAGGTGGACCAATTGCATGGACCTCCTGGATCACCTGAACTATCCATTTTAGATTTTTTATGCGGTATGGTTAATAATAAGGTTTACAAAAAAACTTATGAATTAATGAACTAAGAGAGGCACTCAAACTGGCGGTACGAGAGAAGTTTAATTAAGTCGACCGGTCCTTCTGTGAGAATAGGTAGTAATTTAGTTTTAAAAAGATGCAACTCAAAACAATGGCGGATTTTTTGAAAATTTTCTAAAATAACTTAAAGTGTATGTGGAATATTATTTTTTCAAGTTTTAGTTTGTGTAATGTAAATTATAAAGAACCGTTTAATAATATATTCTGACTGATTTTATAAGTTATAAATCATAACAGAATAAAAATACCATGCAATCTAAGTGAAATTAGCCAAGAAAGATAAGAATTAGCTATAACTAAATTTAACTTTTCTTGAAAACCATTCTCTAAAAAACATTCACCGGTCAACGTATCCTCGAAAATGTATTTCCAAGAAAAGTTGAACCAATAATCCTACACGCTTTTCTTCATTTGAAAAATTCATATTTACAATTTTTGTTTATTTTAATTTACAAAGTTTGGAATGACAACTGCACATTTCTGAGAGCAAAGACGTTTAAACTTGTTTCCATGGCTAACTACTAAGTGAAATTGTTTAAATTTATAAGAATTGGCTATAACTCAGTAATTTTTCGAAAAAAACATATTATAGCTTATATCGCTG